CGCACAATCACGTGCACTGTGACTCTCGTGACTTTACGACTAATCGGGAAGGCCACGCATGGCGGCAGAACATCGGCAAGGTCGGGATGAACTCATCGTCGTCCTCGACGCGCTTGAGCCTCGATCATCGTGATTTCACCCAATTTCTCCAGTCATATACTTCCCTCTCCAGAGTCCAGCTGCTTGCCTTGTGCTCTTCTCGCTCTCCTCGACGACGCACACACAATCGCACTGAGGACTAGGAAGGTGCGTAGCTGGCCGCGGCACTCGTGAGAGTGTGCAGCGGCAGGGCCGTCCACGACCGGAGCTCCCGAGAAGTTCTGACTGACATTGTTTATCTGTGTGTGACTGGACAGCGTATCCCACAGCACTCACAAGCTCCTCATCTGACGTCGCTCTCCTTCTACGCTCATCTCGCACGCATCTACCGCAACGAGAGAAGAAGATGCGGCAGGCCGACTACGCTGCGATAGCCCAGGACGTGTACGCGTTGGCACAGACGGACGACCCGCTCGCGGCGCCGGTGAAGGAGGCTCTGGAGGTCATTGACGAGGCGTTTGAGACGTGGGGGTGCGTCAGCTATGCTCAGTGTTGCCTGCTTCGCCCTGATCGTTTCTACAGCCAAGAGCATGTATCGCTGAGCTTCAACGGAGGCAAGGACTGTGCGTAGCGCGTTCGCCTTCTTCTCTCCGCCGAGATACGCTAACTCACACAAGGCACGGTCCTCCTCCACCTCGTCGCCGCAAGCCTCGGAAGGCGCACATCCTCCTCACAACCCCAACCGCTCGCAGCTGTTTACATCCCCGTCCCATCCCCCTTCCCGCAGCTCGAAGAGTTCATCGACGACGCCGCCTCTGCGTACCACCTCGACCTCTTCCACTCTCCACCCCCGGCCGACCCGCTGCCTGTGGAGAGCGTGCCGACCCCGGGCGCCGCCGCGGCGCCCATCCTGGAGCGGCCGAAGCATGTGAAGGGCGGAGAGGGTATGCGTCTGGCGTTGGAGATGTACAAGGCGCGGTTCCCGCAGGTAGAGGCGATTCTGATTGGAACGAGGAGGAGCGACCCGCACGGAGGTGAGTGTATGCTTTTGAGTTCCGTCTGTCCTTGTTCTTGCGCGTCACGCGGTCATGTCGTTCATCGTTCAGTCCGACTCTGCGTCTCCCTACGTCGTCCTTGACAGCTTGACACTACCACAGTCCACGGATGTATGCGTGAGGCCATGGCTGCGCGCGTCACCTCCGATCTGCCGGGATTGTCGAAGGCTCTGCCGCTCAGGCGGTCATACCTCGCCGCTGCGACACCCTAGTCATGAGAACGTCGGTTGGCGCGGGGATGCTGAGGAGCTTGAGGCAAGTCATATCCGCTCGCGCATACATTGAGCATTCTCCACTCTCGTGTTATTATTCGTGCACTCGATTGGGCAAATTGCCGCTACAATGTCAGTGCGTTGAAGTCGCTGCACCGTCCCTGCGGTTTCTGTGGCGTAAGCGTCGAAGCAGGAGTTACGTCACCTCAGGTGATTCCCTCCCGTCAGCAAGCCGTGCTGCTTCGTGTACTATATCCGCCTACCGCAGACTCCGACGGCTGCTAACGTTAACTTTGACCCCCTCGTTCGGCGCGTGCATATATACTCCTCTCTTGTGAAGCCCGCATATACCTGTACTCACCATCCGTCCTTTCCCTCCCGCCTTACCCCTTGCAGCGAAACTCAGCTTCCGCAACCCGACAGACCCTGGCTGGCCGCGCTTCGTGCGGGTGAACCCGATCATCAACTGGTCGTACGCGGACGTGTGGGCGTACTTGAAGCGGTTTGACGTGCCTTATTGCAATCTCTACAACGAGGGGTGAGTCGAACGGATACAATTTCTGTATCCGCAGGCGTCGAACAGCGAGCTGACGTGCGATGTGCGCAGGTATACTTCCCTTGGCTCGACCTACAACACATTCCCAAACCCCGCCCTGCGTGCACCTTCGCCGTGCACCTGCGGAAAAGCTTCGTCTCCGTCTCCGTCTCCGTCTCCTCGACTGAACGGCACCGCGTCTGCACCCGCAGGCCCATCCAAAGCGAACGGGGCTCCTAAACTGAACGGCTCATCCCCCTCCACAACCACCCCATCATCGAAAATGCAGCCGCTCCCAGATAACTTCGTCATCCTCAACGGCAACCCAACCGCAGCGCTCTGCGTCGGGGAGCCATCCCCATCACAACCCATACCACCAACTCCACTCAGCCCATCCGCGCGCGAACCGCTCCCACACCGCTCGATGCTCGTCGACCTCACGCGCGTGCCTGGGCAGCTGTGCGTCGGGGAGGCGCACCCGCTCCCACCGTCCCCACAACCCCCAGCCGCATCGCTTCCCAATGCCAATGTCAATGGGCATGGACACGTCACGGAGGTGCGCACGTGCGACGGGATAGGGAAGCTGGAGGTGCTGCACCGCTCGGCGGAGATGTGCCAGGGCGAGCCTTCAGCGCTGCCACAGCAGGACGTGTCGGAGGAAAAGGGAGAGAGCGGAGAGTGCACGTGTGCGCCCAAGTACCGGCCGGCGTATGAGCTTGCGGATGGCAGCTTGGAGCGGGCGGGGAGGGCGTCGGGGGTCGTGCCTGCCCCGGCGAGAACGTGAGGGTCAGGTTGGTGTGGTGTGGATTTTAATGTTCGTGTTGGGCTTGTAGATTGCGGGGTGCGGAGTACAGTTTGCAAAGTGCAGACCAGACATTAATTGGCTGTGTAGACTCGGGCGATTCTTGGATGTATCTGTATGAGTATATGTATGTATGCTACGTCCCTTGACACGTTCGGAAGGGTCGCGGGGAAGGCAGTTCGCTTTTGCCAGTCGGAGCTAAGAACTCGAGATCGGTGCAGATAGCGAGCTATTGCGCACCCGGCCAGAGCGCCGCCATCATTCGAAGGATGGGTGGATGACCCAGCGACATCAGTGTCAGTCTGCAGCGTCCTCGATTGCCTCAGACCCATCTTGTCCAAAGAAGTGCGTCCTGAAACCGATCTCTTGGACGCCGGAGGGCAATTGGCCATAACTTGGTGGGAACTGGGAAGCCGGGCGCAGCGTCAATATTACAACTCCACGTGAAGATTTCGAGTGCACATACAAACTCCGTGAACCCGTAAGAATGGGCGATAATGCTCGGGCTGTAAAGAGTGGGACTTTCCTCATGTCTGGCAAAGCTTGAGGCGGAAAGAGGGGTCGCCGAGTCTCTTATCCACGTCTTCAGCTGCTCAGCGGACCACTGGGCGGGCCGAGGCGGGCACGCAACATACGGGTTGTGCGCGTACTTGTCTCCGTACGGATTGAGGTCGAAGGTCACAATATCCGTGTGCTTCCACCAGTTAGGCCCCAACCTGCCCCCCGGCTGGTCGGCTGTATGGAACGAGACCCGGGACCCGTACGGGTAGGAGTGGAGGAGGACGACCCGTTCGTCGGCCGGCTCCTGCAAGACCACGCTGCCTTGGGCTCCCCACTGCTCCCAGGGAATTCGAAGGGGCGGTGTGTAAGTAGGTTCGCCGGTGGTGGGTTCGGGGCGAAGCAGCCTGCGGAACGTCGTGTATGGTATCAAGAGCGCGCCTCCCGGCGGTGTCCCGCGGCGCATGAACCAGTATACGATCATGAGGACCCGCAGCTCCGGATCGGGCCAGAAGGGCGCGTTCGGAGGGGGTGCGGGGATGCTCGACTGTTGTATATGGGGGTTGCACCGGTCTTCGAACGGAAAACCGAGTCTGAGGATACCGTCCGCTGCCTCATCGGGTGGATCGAAGCGATACACGCGCAGCTCGTCCCAATGGGCAGATGCCATCAGGATATGGGCGGCATCTAGCAATGTGTATGTGACCGTTTCATCGAACTGGCGTCCCTAAGTGTCATTTCAGTGCAGGCTCACAAAGCGATTCAGGGTACGCCGACATACCCATATCTTATCGCCCGTACACCAGTTCCATACCTCAACTTGTACGCTTTCCAACGTGCGAAGACTCCATATAACGAATTGTTCATGGATCTGTATCTTGGACATGCCGTAGCACTTGAGTCCCGACGGAGCTGCGTACAACGAACGTGAACGGGCTCGAGGATGCGGGGCGTCTGGTCGCTTCAAGGACCGGACATGCACTGTGACGTCCCTGTAATATGCATGGGAGAGTGTGAGATGGCTTATCCAGTCAGGACGAGGATCCAGGTTGCTTCGGACTCTTACCAGTCTGTTTCTCCATATGGCTGCCCTCGAGCGACAAGCAGCAGATCCTGCGTCGTGTCCACGGATACAACCCAGGTTTTCACTCCAGGAAAATATGCGATCGGAACACGCCAGTGGCTCACAGTGTGATGGTCTGGAAAGGGTGCAGGATCGTAGACATCGATGACACCGTCAAGGGCCTTGATAATGGTGTATGATATCGTTCCGCCAAAGGCAAGCGAGAGTCGCCAGTGGTCACTATCGGGTACAGTAGGTTCGAGAGGGTTGCGCATGGCTGTCAGGTGATATACTCCGGCTTTGGAGATGTAACGACTCCCTGTGCTTGAGCATACTCCGTCGACCAAGCGGGAGTGATGTTTCACCAACAGGGAGAGCTTGTCCTGGTGGTGTGATGGTACATCTATGAGCCCGTGGACGGCGAGAAGGACTTTGTATTGCACGAGATAGGCACTTGACTCCAGCGCGTCTCTGAGAAGACGGCAAACCTGGAAAATCGAGCATGGAATGAGGTTCATGACAATGACAGAAAGCCGCAGTCATCGGCTTATCCTACGCACAAGGCTGAGAGTCAGCAGGTCGCGCAGTTCACAATGCGTGAAGATGCATCTTATGACATCTGTTGGAAGCAAAGCAAAGCAAAGCCTCTGAGCGGGTGAAGACAGCATGTGCAGGGATATCAACTGGTAGGTACCGTGTAAGTAAGTACTATTTATACTGGAACCTGCTTGAAGAGTTGCACTGCCAGTCATAACAATGGCTGCTATTATATATTAACAAGTAACCGTGGACCCATGGCCGACTAGCTCAGTTGGTTAGAGCGTGGTGCTAATAATAAGGTTACGCCAAGGTCGTCGGTTCGATCCCGGCGTTGGCCAATTTTGTCTTTTGTTTGTCTACTTTTTTGACTCTTCCGACCTTGAGGCATGTTCTGATCATGAGGTGCGAAGGATCGCCAGATGCATTGCATGGGCATACGGTAGTTGAAGACATACTGATTGATAGAAGCAGCGAGGCTAGAGACTTTCTACATATGAAAGCCTGCGTCGCTGTGTCCACGCGGACGAAGATGTACAGACGGCTCAAGCAACATTGAAGCCAGATGTAGCAACATCCGAGCCGATGGGTCGCGGTATAGTACCGTGTAGCTACTCGCCTTAGCGAGGCGGCTATCAGGTCCTCAGAGGTGCGAACGGTGTCTCAGTACTGTAAGGCTCGGCAACTTGCAAGGTCATTGGGGATCATGAGCTCGCGATGTAAAGCGACCATGCCTGCTGTTCAAGGGACTTCAGAGACAACCAATGAAGCAACCTCTCGATCTCTTAACGTCCTGTAGCTCAGGACAAAACTCAACCATTAGTCTATTTGCATACTAACCAGAGCATCCGTTGTAGTGTATGATACATATGTGATGTAAGGTATGCCTGTAGTGAGTGGTGGTGGGCCATTATACCGTGATACAGTGTAGTCGATAGCATGAATAGAGAGCATAAGGCGGTGGGAGATGGAGCCGAAATGTCCACAAGAAGGCCCCCTCATATCCGAAGCGCAGCTTCATAGATGAAGAACATGACAGCAGCGTTCGGGATGACACGCATAAGGTGTGCGCTGAGGCCGCCATATAACGAGCGAGCGCCCTCTTCCGCGACGACGAGACGTAGTGTCTGCCACAGGCCCGTGTACTTGACTTTGCCATTGACCAATGGTTGTCGCAGTCTTGTTCGCAGGACCTGCACGTATCACGTCCATCAGTCCGGGGACACGAGAGACATGATAAGGAGGACAGGGACGCACCTCATGAGGGTATGTAATCAACGTCGCGACGCACTTCGCCGCGCCTGCGCTCCCAACCATACCCAGCCACTCCATCGGCCCTCCCTTCCCCTGCGTCCCTGCCGTCAATCGCTTGAGGCGCTCATACAGCACCCACTGTATCGTAGTCTCCGTTACGCCCAGATAGCTCGCGGTCAAGCCCTTGTAGAGCCCACGCACGCCCTCCTCTCGCAGGATCTTCTTGATCGTCGGGACCGAACCCCCCAAGAACGAGTGCGCCCCGGAGATCGCGGGCTTGTGCGCGTCGAGTTGGAGCCGCGTCTTGACGACCCAGATGGGGTTCGTCACGGTGCCAGTCACGATACCCGCGCAGGCTGCGGCGGTGAGGTGGACCCAGGAACTTTCTTGTCCGTGGTTGAAGTGCTCCGCGATGACCTGCTTTCCGTTGCCGTAGGTGAAAAAGATGAGGGACCGCGCAGGGACGACGCCGACGAGAGTCGGTCCAAGTCCCTTGAAGAGTGCTCGGGGGGACTCTTCGCGGTAGATATCTCTGCGATGATGTCAGCACTGCTGTCCCGACATTGCATATGGACGAATGGATGGCGGGGACAGCCCTAGTTTGCGGCAACATGCTCTTTGGCCTGCGGGCAAGCGAGCGGCGAGCGTACTGGAGCAAACAAGGCGACGAAGGTGACGACGCGCTCCACCTAGTGACGATCATCCGCGTTCCAGCTTTGTGTGCTTGCCGCACAACTATGGGCACAAGTAGTAGTTGCAGAAACGAGAACACGTACCGAATGATGTGTGCAGTCTCGACGAAGTGCCAAAGCAGGTTTCTCCGGACAGCGACAGCAGCTACACCATTGCCCTCGATCGCGACGTGACCATGCTTCGCGCGGAAGAGGTCGGACTGCAACCGCGTCTTAACCACATCAAACGGGCTGGTTACTATCGCGCCGCACATCCCTCCCAACCTAGATGAACCCAACATATGTTAGACACGTCCGACCGACCCGTACGTGGAGTAGTGCTTACCCGCCAGCAACGAAGTGACGCCAGGACTGGGCTGGCAACCAGCTTCTTTTTGATGGGCTCTCAACTGGACGAAGTGCAGTATCAGCCATGTCGAGTACGGGAGAGAAGGACTCGGGGAGAGGGAGGTGGTGGTGATCGGCGGGGACAAGTCGACAAAACTCGGCTGCTACTCAGCAGCGATGACCTACTGAAGTTTTGAAAGTTACACAGATAAGATTAGATAGACGCTCATACTCAGAATGATCCTGGCCTCGAGCTTGCATCCTACTGCTCCTCCTCCTGCTCTCCGTCTTGCTCATCTCGTCCTGCTACCACCTGTTATCGATATACAACGCTTCTTGCTTGTAACGAAGAATCGCTATCTTCTCAATATCAGGAGGACGCCACGTCAACGAACTGCGGCTAATGTTCCAATTATCCATCATCAAGGTCTTGTCCAGTGAAATCGTCTGGCGGAGTAATGTCTCTCTTACCTGGACGATACCTAGGACACCGTGGCCGTACAACCATCACAGTTCGGACTCCCACCAGAACAGGCCATTACGAACGACTTGAACAAGAAATACGCGAACCGGGTTCTGCATGATGTCGGACTCTGCGTGTGTGTTTTCGACCTCGCGGAGGTAGGGGAGGGGAAAGTGAGATATGGCGATGGTTGTTTGTGGTACAAAGGTTGGTGAGTGAGACTTGCTGTTATGAGAACCGGACAATGGCGTTCGCTGCGAGGCTTGAGGTCTTCATGCTGCAGTCGCAGTATTTCCGCTACGAGTGCGTGTCCAGATCTCTCGGCGATACATATCGTCCACAGTCAATGCGTTACAAATGTAGATGCGAACTGCAGTTCACTCTTCTGACGGCCGTGCCGCGCAGTGGCTTGGCGACACGGTGAACTACCGACTTACCGATTGGAAGAGCTATGAATCGAGCTAGGCTATCCGCCTGCATCTCTCAGCCTCACTACGTGTCAGTTGGTTGCGAAGCGATAGCGATCGCTTGCATTAAGGTACTACGACTTACTAACAACCTCACGCAGTCATATTCCGCATGGTGATCTTTAGGCCTTTCGCGTCGGAGGTAATCCTTGCAAGAGTCAAGTCTTCGGATGAGGATGGAGTTCGCCGTACGTCTTGCATTCTCCCCTTGCTTTGCAGTCATGTTTCATGGGTTCCGATGAACAGTGACTGTCGGTTTTTTCGACGACATTTACGTGCCACTGGTGTATCTACCAGAGCCCAGTGCATTGTGAGTGTAAAGCTACGAGATGTTCCGCTGTGTATTGACTGAACCTTCACCACAGTGATTCAAAAGAGCGCGCGCACTTCTGGCTGCCGGGCTCGGAGGCAACATCTTCACATGAACTCTTAGACTCGGCCTTGACAGACCGGATGTACATCGACGCGGGCGACGTGGTCAGAGTCCGTGTGGAGTCGGATGAGTTTCATGACGACGAGCCAGGTCCGCCCAAGGCCCATGAGGGCGTGCAACAAGCACGGGAGCACCGCCGACCGCCCTACACCATCGTGGTGCGTATTTCCCCCTACCTCCATTCCCGCTGCTACCGCAGTTACTTCTGGCTGTTCGGGCGCACTGATACATTGCGCTGTTTTAGTGTTCAATGTCGGAACAAGGCTTAGGTCCGACTTCGTGGTGGAGGAACGCCGGAGTTGAAACGATGGACGAGGGCTGAGGCGTCCCGCTATGGACGTGTACATATGGGCGATGTCACGGAGAGATGGTGCGTAAGTTCATTCATCCGAGCCTCTTTTGTGCTGAAGGCGGGCGGTCGTCTAGGCTGGGCGATATCTTTAGGCATATGATTGTAGAGTACAAGCTCAAGGTTTCGTTCCTCTCCACTTACGGATGCAACTTCCGCCGTACCGCCGAATATGCGGTGTATCATCCATTACGCTTGTGCCTGCCTCTCCGAGCGCGGTGAATCAGGTGCGTACCGTGGAAAGTTGAGCAACGGTTATGGTAAGCTCCAACTATTTTCAGTTCGTGGCTGAAAGGCAGTTGAAAGACTGACTGCCCGCCTGCACCCGCCATAGTCCCCTGCAGTGCCTGAATATGACCGCAGCTGTCGGGACGCCAATGAGCCACGGAACCGCATACAGATTTGACCGCTGACTATGACGTCTTGCCAGTGACACTCGCACCTGGACAGGCCCGTCGCGCACAAGTCCCTCAGGCTGTAACAATTGGAAAGGACTTCATGTCCGAGACATGAAGGCAGTGGTACAGATGGCACGCGGCGTCCTCTCTGCCTGAAAGCTCCGCAGATACACCCACTTAGTAATCCGCCATGTAAGGGTCCAGCTGTGCAACCTGCGACTGTCGTTCTCTGTCACTTTGTATGGTCTAGTGTGGTTTTGGGCTCATGAGAGCTCCTGCTGGTCCTTTAGCTTTCCTAAAGCCTATCTTAAGTTGACTCGCGTTGGTGTGCGCCTTCTGCGAACGCCACAATGCGGAAGTAGGGGGTGCTGGCGAAGCACCTCACGATCTCGAGTAGGTCTCTCCATTGTGCATTGTTCAGGGTACCCAGCGGCTCATTCAGCATCCAGGTCCGATCATATGTGGATCAGGCAGGAGTCTACCTCAATGAAACATAGCCAGGACTGCGTACGGGAGCGCAAGCCGGTTTATTCAAGCGGGACGCCCTTCGCCGCCACCGTTGTACGCGCTACTTTCCGCTGGTGTCGCACTGATACGTCGACCGAGTCACCATGAGTTGCTGTCTCAGGCCTTGGCAGGTATCCGGCCGACGCATCGCCCCTTGTGCGGTTACGAGTCGGCCTTCCCAGTCGTGTTGCACATGGAGAGGGTACGAGTACAGCCCGCCAACTGGACATCGCCGCATACCTCGCGATGTATATAAAGGTGCGCCGCCGCTCTCTCGACCTGCACTTCAGTAGCTGTGACTGAAGACGACCTACTCTCACACTCCTTCTTTTCCTACTCCAGCATGCCATACATGCGACTTCGTACAAGCGTTGCCCTTATCGCCCTCGGGCTATTCGGAAGGGCGTTGGGTGCGATCGGCCCTGTTGCCAATCTACCCATTGTCAACAAG